TGCTGAAGTAGATAAATACGTCCTTACGAGGCTAAACGATGAACGGGCATCACAGTGGAGGTGAGGGATCCAACTTTTATAATATTTTCATTCTTTCATAGTACTTGGCTAATTTTAATTTTATTGTTTTTGAAAAAATTACAGGAAATTATAAAGACTTAAATTTATGAAGCTTTTTAAAAGGACCAGGACTTCTCGGGTGATGCCATTTTAATGTTAGTATTACTCTATCAAAAATGATGCGCAACTGTGCCAGGTCTTTCGCTTTTGGGCTGCATACCCCGTAGCATTCAGCTTCTGTTTGATGTGTGTGTGCACTACCTGTTTAGGGGCCGCCGGGGGTACCGTTCAGTTTCTCGCAGTACCACACACTATTGCACAGCGTCCACCTACTGTCGGCAAGGTCGATCAGCATGAGCTTCTCCTGAATTTCTCACGTTGTCACGATAGTGTACTGCGTGAAAGTGTGGTTGTTTATATAGTCGCGAAGAGATACTTCAGACATCCTTCGCTTTCTCCGTCACAGCCAGTCTCCTCATTCTTCAGTTTTTGTCAGTGACCACGTTTCGTATCCGTACGTGTTTGCCTTTCCGCCATTGCGTTTTGGCAGAAATGGAACAGTGGAATTAAATTTTTTATGTATGGAGTTAAAAATGCAGAAGTAGAACAAAATACGTAAAGACAAAATTTTTGTAAGAACAATGGAATTAAAAAAAAATATGAAAATGAAACTTAAATGAATAAATGCAAGCAGCCCCCAACAGAAAAAGAAACTATTTTTAAATGAATATGAAGAGGCATAGAAAAATCAGGAATACTTATATAAATGCGCAAATTTAGTTATACTTTAGTGGCCGCATGGGACACAAATCCTTTGATTTGATGCGCTTAAAAGGTAAATAAATAGAAAAAAAAAACGGAATAAAGTGATGGGGCATGCTGGGGAGGAGGTAGGAGGGTGATGCGATGGTGCTACTTTTGAATTAGGGAGCCTCAGTTCTGTGTCCATCAGCGTTCTTTAAATTATGAGTGAATTAATCACTTTTTGTTTATATTTACGTCAGTTATCCACTTTTTCACCGCTTAAAAGCCAAAATTGAAAGTCAAAAGCCTTCCTCGTTAATTCTTTATGAGCACTTAGAAGTAGCCACTGGGTGGTCGCTGTTGCCTTTGTGAGTACCTAGAAGTAACCCCGGCTTATTCTTATTACATTTAGGGTTGGTGCGGCCCTTTGGGTCGATCCCTCCGCAGAATGGGCCGCTG